CAAACTTTGGCTGATTTCACTCAAATTTTAATCGTGGGTTCACACCCCGACCCTGAACAGATTGATGTAAGAAAATACAAAAATGGGTGCAATAGCGCCCCCTAGAAAATTTGTATGTAAAAATAAGGTTTTATTTGTCACAGATATACAAAATTTGGTATCCACATTTGTGACATGGTCTTGATTAAAAAACTCAATGATGCTCACATCTCGTTTACATTGTGTTGCCATGGCAACAAGCCAAAATTGTATGTCCTTACACAAACGCTGGCGTAGCCAAACCAAATTTGGTATCCAGATGCATTATGGCAATAAGAACAAAAATGTATATTGTGACCACGCCCCTTTACAAACTGGAAGTCCGCCATCTTGGATTATTATTATTTTTTTTTTTTTGCCAAATTTTGAAAATTGCAAAGTTAGATTAAGATTTTTAGGGCTAGGGTTGGGGCTATGGTTAGGATTATGATTAGGGTAAGGTTTAAGTTTAGGCTTAAACCTTAAGTTTAGGGTCAATGTGAGGCACGGCGTTTGCGGGGCGTTTGCGGGGCGTGGCGTTTGCGGGGCGCGGTGTAGAGGGCCAATCATTGCCGCTTGCGGCTATATTTTTTATTGCTTTTATGCATGCCTTTTTTTTTTTTTTTTTAGAATTTTCTCTTTGATCCTTTAGTATCTAAGCTATAGGCTTTAACTGCGACTACATGAATGCATATTTTAATAATTATTATGTTCCATACATTTAACTTATAGTACTGTTCAAATACTGATACTAAAGTAATACAAATAATACAATTCAAATATTGGGCAAACTCATCATGAGGTCCATCAAACGTCAAACCATCCGATTCTCGCGATATTCCACGAAGTTTCCGGTGTTGTGTATGTTCCTGGAAACATGGCGGCCAGCTTCCGCGGCCGTCCTATCCGGAGTCTTCGGATGCGAGGTAAGCATGAAAAACTCGGTACATTTATACACCTCGGAGGCCAGTGCTGCAGTAATTGAGTTTTCTGGGCTCATATTGCCTGTAGTGTGCTCTATGCTTATGTCAGCCGCGTGTGTGTTTGACAGGTCGGAATGACAGCGGGGAAGAAAACGTACCGCTGGATCTGACCAGAGGTAAGCTTCATCGCATCTCTGAAAGCGATTATTGTTCAAAATGGATTTTGAGCACGAGTGGAACAACCATTATTTGAAGCTTTACTATGTACTTCTTCGTATCCATGATTAGATGCTGTCATAGTCACTGTGTTAATTGTGATTTTCTGATCCACCTACCAACAGTGGGAAAGGGTACCATAATAACAGGCGGTAGCAGGCTAACTAACTAGCTGAGTTAGCGTTAGCTGCCACAGCTAACCAGCCATGACGCCGCTCTGTTGTTTTGATTGTAGAATGTGTAGGATATTTCTAATTTTACTCTACTATTCGTAATGGTGTAATTACACCTTAGTCACTGAATTGTGTGTGAGTTCCATAGTCATTAACCTCCGTATGGTTTCTTATCGTGACTGATTCTGCATCAGTTTGTTTACATGGGTCAGGGAGTCTCTTTCGTCGCATTTTTTTTTTTACCTTTCTGCCTAATGTAGTTCAAATATGATGAAATCTGGTCTGGTTAGTGGAAAAAAACAGCGTTGGTTCTAATTTGCAATTGTTTTAGCCTAAGTCTGGGTTGTTAAACAAAATTTTGTCTTGCTTGATGGGTCTTCTATAGCATTGCATTCAACTTTAGGTGATTTCACCTGATTTAGCATGATGAATTTTTTAATTGAATCTTATATAGTATTTACATTTTAAGAAATGCAAACAATCTAAATTTAAAGTGAACTGCACTTGGTGTTAGATATTGTTAATGGTTTATTATCATTTACAAAACAAATTTCACCTTAGAAACAGTATTTGTCTATTATCATTCTCTACTGCTCACAATTTATCGAGTATTCAAGTTGCTCTTAATGTCTGTGTCGGACTGTGACAGCTTATGGGGCTTCATACAATTGCATACAATTCAGCTGTAGGAAGGATGCCTTTTGGGTTTTCTGCTTACCCTCTCCAATCAGCACCCCTGCTAAGTAGTTTTGCAATTTGTATAGGAAGTGATAGTGAATGGGAACTAAAAAACAGACCATGCTTCCTCTTACTTGCTTGCGGTCTAGACCTTGTTTACACTGTACACGTACTATTATTTTGACCAGCTAAACCAACTTCCTTCCCTCATATCAGGCAAGGTTCACTGGGGAGTATTATGGCAATATCTCTAAATGCACATCTTGGCTACATTGTATTTTCTTATTTTGTTTTGCAGAACCATCTGAAAATTTCCGGGAAATTGTCCAAAATGTGGCCAAACCACATGGAGTCAGTAACATGCGTAAACTGGGCCACCTGAACAATTTTATAAAGGTATGTCATTTCAAGTTGCAAAGCATGTTTGATATACTATGCAGTCACATTAACGTAATATATTGGCCCCATAATCACAGGTTATTGTTCAAATATGCAGCTTTTTATTGGCACTAATTCAGCATAGAAGATTGTTTTTGGTCTCTGTGCACTATTAATCCTCCGAAAAATTGCTGAAAAAATGTGCAATATGGCACCTATGACTGTCAAACATGGGGTTCTAATTGCTAAAAATACCTGGTAAATATGCAGTTGGCTCATTAACTATGCTTGCTTTCTCCAACTCAAAAAAATAAATGACAACAATTGTGTTTTGTATTTTGTATACCTTTCACATTCACTCTTGTGGCCATAAACCTGAAGTCTAGACTTGACTAGATGCCATTGTTAGAAGGTTAATGCCCAGACTGCATCATGTTTGAATCTGTGTATACATTGGTCAGTGCTCCATGCTGACTCCTTATAAGGGTTTCAGGACAGTGAGGGTGACCTAATCCCCCCAGAGAGTGTCACATGCCCTGCTACCCCCCCTCCGTTTTGCCTGCTTTGGCTCTGACATCACTGCTGGTTCAAAACAAGCCCTTACTCATACTGCCTTTGCTTAGCCATCCCTCTGGTGGGTTGTGGATAAGAATGAAATTAAATGTTCATTTCTAATGTGAGGTTTCTGTATAATTTCATCAGTTGTGCTATTGAGGAGCAGCATAAAAATATGTATAACAATTAGTGTTTAATTTCACAATTGTTGTACTTACTTTTTGACTAAGTAGACATATATTGTACATGCATATTTAAACATTTACGTCAAAAGTTTCAAGTTAACTTCTCACACTAAGTGCCCAGGCTATTTTAAAATTATGTCAACTCATAAGATTACTGATTCATAGGTAATTTAAGGGAAAACTAGATCTAATATTTTACTTGTTCCATCTGCCCCATCATACATGGTTGTAATCAAGAAATGGTCTTCTTGTTTTGAAGCTGCTATGCAGTGTAGGCCACCAAGAGGAGAAGTTTGGATTTACATATGAAGAAATCATAGTTTGGCAAGTTTTTTTATTTTTAATTTGAATGTAAATGTCCTCTGCATGTGCTACTTAAATACCTAATAATAATAATGGTAATATTATTTCTATGTAGTTTACGTCTTGCTCTGCTAAATGAGGCTAAAGAGGTCAGAGCTGCAGGATTGCGGGCACTACGGTACCTTATTAAAGACACAAACGTCTTGCAAAAGGTCCTTAGACTACAGGTGGATTATTTAATCTCCAGGTGAGATTTCTTTTTTATAATTGCTATCTTTGTGTCTGTTTAATGTTTCTATTTCAGTTTTGTTTTAACAACTGAGGATGTTCTTTTTAGATGCATTGACATCCAACAGAGCAATGAAGGAGAAAGGACTCAGGCTTTGAGACTAGTTCGAAAGGTATGTTACTTCCATGTTCCGATGCCCTTATGTTATTTATCCTCGTGCCTGCTAAGTACCAAAAAAAGACCACTGGGTTAGTGGTAGTGTCTGTGTGTAGATAGTTTGTACAAAACTGCAGGCTGCTGGGATATTATAGCTGATTCTGTAGTTTACTGTAAAACCTGAGCACTCTTCAGCACACTTGCCACATAGAAAACAACATGTGCACACTCACTGACCCTGGCTGTAGGTTCAGAGAAATACTCATAATGCAATCAACAAGACCTATTCTTATATGCTATATTTCATCTCTTGTACTCATAGTAGTGCTAAGAAAATGTCTGATAAAACATTTTGTTTTAGAAATTCTGTCTAGACTTGCATAGTTGGTGACTCATTTGTGCCCCCTCTTCATTAAGATCATCACTGTCAACGCAATGCTCTTTCCCACCTCCATTGCAAACTCTCTAATCGCTGTGGGCACTGATGGTCTACAGGAACGTGACCGCATGGTTCGTGCAGCCATTGCAATTGTGTGTGAACTTGGTAAGCATAGGCACATTACTAGTGTATATTAATTTTAAAGACATAAAATAGTTTTTAATAAACTGCCATTACATGCCTTCTGTCTGCAGCTCTAAAAAACCCAGAAGTGGTGGCCAAACGGGGCGGTCTGAGCACCATCTTGAAGAGTGTCATTGATTGTCAGCTAAGTCGCATTAATGAAGCTTTGATCACCACCATCCTTCATCTTCTCAATCACCCGCACACGCGCCAGTTTGTGCGGGTGGATGTAGAGCTCGAGGTATAGTTGTTATATTGTTTAGATTTTATACTTTTTGTTAATTATATAGTTTATTTGATACAATGTCAAATAAATTATCACAGTGTTGTCCAAAGAATTTTGTTAACATTACTTAAAACCCTTTACTGAATATTGTTTTTACTACAGTGGCAAAAATATGTGTAACATTTATAGGTTTGTATAGTACTTTATATAACTTGAGTCCACATGAGCACACATGTATGTAAAGACCTTATGTGGCCCCAATGTCACAATTTATTAGAAGCTTTAATAATTGTTTTTGTTCTTTTTTCAGCAAATCCTTGCACCTTTCACTGATTTCCACTACCGGCATAATGCTGCTGACACAGCTGAGGGACAGCTCAAGTGAGTGTGTTTATAAAATTAACTATTTGTGTTACTACACCTTGTGCGTGGTGAGCTGTAGCTGTATTTACCTGTGATCCTATGTAACAACACAATGCCATGTGGAAAGTTTAGGATGTGTTAATTTATGTGGTCACTGGATCTGTTTTAAAAGATAAAATGTAATTGATCTCTCTGTAGACTTTAGTTTTGACAAAAAATTAAAAATGTACAAAGTGCATCACAGCAGGAATATACAATTAATCATAAAAAGGAGCTTTGAGTCATATGCTAATAGCTATGAGCTATTTTATTGAAGTGTTTTAGTAATCATGCATCTTAATGTACGTGTGTGTTTTAATTTCTGCAGGGAGGATCGAGAGTCACGTTTTTTGTCAAGTCGGATGGCAATTGTAGCTGCTTTTCGCTCGTGGTCTGGTGGGGCTCAGTGATTTAACTTTACATTTAATTTGTTAATAATTGTTGAGTGCAATATTTACTAAACCTCTGTCTATACCTTTTTCGTTCAGGGATTATCAACCTATGCAAGGCTGGGAATTCTGGTATCCAATCTTTAATTGGCTTACTCTGCATACCAAATATGGAGGTTAGGGTGAGTAGGCTGTCTCACATCATCGCTTATTCCCTGCGTTTGTTAAACTTTATTGTTCACTGTTTTATTATCTCTACAGAAAGGGTTGTTGGAGGTCTTGTATGAGATCTTTAGACTCCCTGTGCCCATTGTAACGCACGACTTTACTGAAGCTCTTCTTAGTGTTGGTAAGTTATATGTTCAGTGTCATACCATGGAACATATAATGGAAAGCAATAACATTTCCATGCTGACAAGCAGGTGACGGACCTTCCAAAGTTGCGCCATACACTTTCACTGTTAGAAGTATGACCACCTTGGGTTGTGTCATCACTTTATAATGGTGTGTATTGTTTTAGACCCTGCCAGGTTCCAGGACACATGGAGACTGTCGGATGGCTTTGTAGCTGCAGAAGCCAAAGTCATTTTACCACATCGGGCACGCTCTAGGTATGAATGATGGCAAGCGATTTTACTCTTGTGTGTGTAGTAGTTGTTTTCATACAAATTAAACGTGTGTCTTTTTTTCTTTTTAGGCCAGATCTTATGGACAACTATTTGGCTTTTGTTCTGTCAGCTTTCATCACAAATGGACTGTTAGAGGTAATGTTTTCTTTCAATCTGCATTTCTTTTAATTGTTTCTGTGCAATGTACAACTTTCTGCTTTGTTTTTGTTCAGGGTATTGTTGAAGTTGTGACCAGTAGTGATGACCAGCTCGCTGTGAGAGCAACTATACTTTTGGGAGAGCTTCTACACATGGTAAGATATAAAGGCAAAAATATAGTAATAAAATAATTTTGTAAACAAATTATAATTTATGTATAGGCATAAACTGGTTTTGATGTTTGATTTTCATTGAGCGTACTATTTGATACTATTAAATGACTTAATATAAAATAAATATCAAATTGAATAAGATGCATAATGGTAAAATAGAAAAGAAAAAATATTTGATGACAATGTATTTATTATTATAGCATTACAGCCATTTAAGGTTTTAATGCATAGTTGTGATATCTCAAAACCCATTCACTCCACTTCTTTAAATGTATAACCTGTATGCATTTGAATGTATACAATTTAATACTGAATACTACACCTAATATATTTCTTTTGGCTTAGGCAAACACCATCCTTCCTCATTCTCACAGTCACCACTTGCACTGCCTGCCCACTCTCATTAACATGGCGGCCTCGTTTGATATTTCTCAAGAAAAACGACTGTAAGTACATACAACTGACAAATACAAATCACTTGATTCAAAGTTAATGGATAATGATCTATGATTCTATAAATTTAAAAATGTCACTAATTTCTGTGTTTCAGTCGTGCAAGTG